GGGGTTGATGGATAATTGCCCACTTGCACTAAACTTCTTCTAAGCACGTCTTTACCTAAGTATACCTTAAAATTTAAGTTCGACTTAAGCTTCAATGAGTTGCACCATCCGTTTTTCACGTGTTCTTAGCTAAGCTTCAGGCAATAACAGGCAGCTCTGTATTTTTCGCTCAGTTCTGTTTGTCTGTGTTGTTTCTAACCGAAATTCGAAATCTTTTGAAAGTTTTGTTTTACTAATGGCAGCAAATCAAAAATGGTCTAGTAATTTCAGCGCTCCTGACAGAGACACTCTTTTAGAGCTCGTCGTGTTTCATTAAGGTCATCGATAAGTCATCGAAAATAAAAAAACAAAAGCTCTGTCTTCCCAAGAAAAGCCGCCAACATGCTGGAAAATAACGCGCGAATTTAATGCTATTTGTTAAAACAATTAATTAATTTTTAAACAACAATTTTTCCGCGTACGACCGCAATAATCAGGAAATTATACATTTACCCAAAATAAGACATCCGGAAGCACATTTCCAATCAGAAAAAAACTTTATAAAACTGGTGGCGGACGAGTTGCGCCTTCTCTATTGTAAATAATAAGACCTTGGATGGCGTGGATAAATCACTTGCTCCTTTTGATGGCAATTGTAAAAAAAAACAGCCAAATGAATTAGTCAGAAAGGGCGTTCGTGGAACGTTGAAATTCAAAATTCATGATGTACGCAGGTACTTATTTTTTGAAAATAGCACATTATGATTACACATTTATATACGTATGCTGTATAGTTGACTAACCAGCGACTGAAGTGAGGTTGGAAGAAGGCTTAAGTACTGGAGAACGAGTCCTTAAATTTAAGATTTCAAAGACGAACTTAAGATCGTGTCATCGGCTGGTGCAATCCCTTTTTGCAGTTAGGCTCGAACTTTAAGTCTTCCTTAAATGTTTGGTGCAAGTGGGCATAAAAGTTTTTTTGATAGAATATACGATGATCGTCCGCGTTATCTGCCCCTACCACCCAGACCACAATACGCAGCAAACGAGCCGCTGACTTTTGCAATCTACGGAAAGTACCGGGAAGGTGGCATCAACTTCATGAAGTACGATACAGTGTTGCCGTACTACTTCGTGCACAAGCTCAACGCTGCCGCTTTGAGCTTTCCTTTGGACAGCACCAAGTACTATTTGCTGCTGCTGCTGCCTCTGCGAGATGCCGGCATAGACCAGCTGATCTGCGACTTGAGGTAGCATGAGCAATTGGCCCTTTCAACCAACTTTTTTGTCCGTTTTTGCGTTGCAGGATACATGGAAGTCTTCGGCATATCATCGACAACTTGAAGCTCACCCATGTGGTGGCCACCATCCCCAGCTTCATGCTCAAGGGATACGTCACTTTAACCCCCACCCTACAACGGGTAAGGCCTCGCAGGGTTTTCCGGCAGGAACTCAAAATTTGGTTTTCCACAGCTGGGAGTTCGCAGCATTTTCGAGCCGCGGCAGGCGGACTTCAGCGCGATGACCAACGTTTCGGACATTTACGTGACCAACATTGAACAGGCCGTAACAGTCACTATCAGGAACTATCTGGATTCCTCGGCCCAACGATACAGTAAGGGGCGCTAACGGTGTTTTTTCCCTTGGTAGCGTTTTTTCGTGATTTCAGAAAACTTCCGCAGATTTAACCCGGTTCGGTTCAAAGCTGACCATCCCTTCTTGTACTTTGTGGTCGATTCTGAGCTGCACGTTGCCTTAATGGTCGGCAAAGTGATCAATCCCCTCAACTCTAGAATCAGCTAACCAGTAAAGCCTCATTCCTACATATCAACAGATGCTGTGTACAGATTTAGAGCTCCAGATGCTCTTTGAACCGCCACACGTTTTTTTGCGGGATGTTAACCGGATGAAATTCAACAATAAAATGATCATCACACAACAATAAACAGTCTTTTTAAGGTTTTTAGCACTCTTTTGCTCGTAACTCGTTTGCAGTTGGAGCAGGGGCGGATCCAGCTTTAAAGTC